CTATTCTCCAAAGCACCTGAAGGCCAGACAAGGAAGAATGGATGGAAACTGACCAAGGAGAGATTCAACCTGGAAATAAAGAGAAATGTATTAACGGGGAGGACAATCGACCATCGCAATGACTTGCCTTCAGAAGTTGTGGGTGCTCCAAATTTTTAAGAAGAGATTTCATTTGTCTGAAATGGCAGAGGGTCTCCTGCTTGAGCAGGAGATGGCTGGACTAGAAGACCTCCAAGGTCCCTTCCCACTCTTGTTATTCGAAAGTGAGAGAGAGAGACTTGTGGTTTTCCAATGCCGTGTTTTGGAGTTACGCGATCTGGTGCTTGCTTGTTAGTCACGCTTACTGTCCAAGGAATACGCAGCAGCCTTCTCCAGCCCCCACCCACGAACAGGGATCTCTCATGGACACGCGGGGGGGGGGGGTGATGAACAAGAGGGGTGGCCAGGCTGGGTCTGAGGGTCTGGGGGCTCCTCCGGTTCACCATCAGGAGTCCTCTTGGCCACTCTTGTAGAATCCCAGGGCTGGAAGGGGCCTCGGAGATCTTCTAGTCCAACCCTCTGCTCAAGGCAGGATCCTCCTACCAGCCCCGTCAAATGGTGGTCCGGTCTGGTTTTGAAAGCCTCCAGTGATGCCTCCAAAATCTTCCTCTTATTTTAAAGGGAGGAAGGAATCAGCTGCTCTGGCCCTCTTTGGAAAGGACATTGGCTGCAGGGCCCCCGCCTGAAACAGCTCCTGCCTTCCCCTCCCTCCCTCCCTCCCCCACCTCCATTTGCCAGCAATATTTGCAGGTGGTCCTCGGCTTACGAGCCCTATTGAGCCAAACATTTTGTTGCTAACCGAGGCACTTGTTAGCTGAATTCCGCCCTATTTTATGGCTTTTCTTGCCACCGTCGTTAGATGAATCATTGCAGTTGTTGAGTCAGTAACACGGTTGTTAAGTGAATCTGGCTTCCCCATGCACTCCGGGATCAGGTGACCCCCCCGGGACACTGCAGCCGTCATAAATCCGAGTCAGTTGCCAAGCGTCTGAATTTTGATCCCATGGCCATGGGGATGCTGCAATGGTCGTTAGTGTGAGCAGCGGTCATAAGTCCCTTTTGCAGTGCTGCTGTTACTTTGAACGGTTACTAAAGAAATAATGGCCCTTCGACTTACATCCCGGAGCTTTCCTGCCCTCTCTAAGCGGTTTACAGAGTCAGCAAATTGCCCCAAATAATCTGGGTCCTCATTTGACCCACCTGGGAAGGACGGAAGGCTGATGGTTGTAAGTTGAGGACTTGCCTGTATGGAGGTGTCTGCAGGTCGTGGGACTCCAGAGATGCTCCCAAGGTCTTCTCCAAACACCCACCAAGGCTTAGAGGCGGGACCCTCCCTGCTGTTTTACATTTGAGGTAGGGGGAAGGGAGACTCCCTGGGGAGTGGGACCCAAGGACCCCCCCAGCCATGGGGCTGGCTTTCCTTCAGCAGAGGCCCTGTCCCTCTGGAGGCCCAGAAGCTCCTGCAGGAGTCTCTTTGTGCTCACATGCGACCAGGAGAGAAGGCGACCAAGGGGGGGGGGGGCGTTTTGAAGACCCTTCTCCTGTCTGGCTCCATTCCAGGGAATTTGGAAAAGCAGGAAGCTGGCTGTAGTTTTCCCAAGTCCTCCTCTGAATGGAAAGGGGGACCAAGGACGACATCACAGCAGCCCCCCAATGTTTGCCAGAAGGAAGAGGGGCCCCACCTGTTCTCTGAAGCACCAGAGGGCAGGAGGAGAAGCAACAGATGGAAACTAATCAAGGAGAGGAGCAACCTGGAATTTAGGAGAAATTTCCTGGCAATTAGAACAATTGACCAGTGGAACAGCTTGCCACCCGAAGTTGGGGCTTTTATGAAGGGGTTAAAGAACCATTTGCCCAGAATGCTCTAGGCTGAGGTCTCCTGTTTGGGCAAGGGGTTGGACTAGAAGACCTCCAAGATCCCTTCCAACTCTGTCGTAACGTATTCTGTAAAAAGTTCAGAAGGAAAGGAGTGGGGATGGGGGGCATGAGAGCAACTTCCAATATTTGAGGGGCTGCCCCAAAGAAGACCGCCCCCCCCCCCGTCCTGCAAAGCCTCTCAAGGCAGGAGGAGAAGCAACAGATGGAAACTAATCAAGGAGAGGAGCAACCTGGAATATAAGGAGGAATTCCCTGGCAGGGAGGACAATTAACCAGGGGAACAGCTTCCCACCAGAAGTTGTGGGGGCTCCATCTGGAGGTTGTTAAGAAGAGGCTGGATATTGTTGTCTGGAGGGGTCCAGGGGTCCACGTGGGCAGGGGGGTGGGTGGACCTGAGCATCCTTCTGCTAAGTCCAGGCTGAGCTCCTTCCACACCAGCAGAGAAGCGGCTCCAGCATCAACCTTGTTGGGAGAGCAGGTGGGAGGGAAGGCCGGGCCCATCGGCCAGAGACAATGGCTCCCTTGGAAAGGCCCCAGAGGCCGCGAAGCCCTCCCTCCGCTTTGTCTCCTCTGGGCCAGATAGGATCGGCCGCCGGGCTCCCTTCCAAGGGGCTCGTCCAGGGAGAGGAGCCGCACGGCTGCTGCGCCGGCTGAAACAAGCCCATCCCCATCTCTTTGTTGCAGCCCAGCCGGGCTCGGTGGACTTCCAGAGGCTTTGGGGTTCCAGGCTGGGTGAGATGAGAGTTATAGTTCAGCCATCTGGGAGGTGTCAGTTTGGAGAAGACACACACACACACACACACACACACACACACACACACAGACACACACACGGCCCTGTGATGAGAGTGAGTTGACCTTGAGATGACCAGGATGGTGGTTCTTCTTCTTCTCCTCCTCCTCCTCCTTCTTTTCTCCTCCTCCTCATTTTCTTCCTTCTTCCTCCTCCTCTCCTCCTCCTCTTCCTCTTCCTCATTTTCTTCCTCCTTTCTCTTTTCCTCCTCCTCGTCCTCCTCCTTCCCCTTCTTCCTTTTTTCCCTCTTATTTTTTCTCCCTCCCCCATACCACTTCAGGTGTGAGAGATGCAAATTTGCTGACAGTGAGAACAATCAATCAAACTGGAACGGCCCAGTTTGATAAACGTGTGTCTTAATTTACAGGCAATGAATGGTGAATAGTAATGAAGAGAATAAGGGCCTGGGAAGGGACCTTAGAGGTCTTCTAGACGTGCCCTTGGCTGAGAAACCAGCCCCTTCATTGCAGTCACTCGACTTATAACCACAATTCAACCCAAAGGGTATGTTGCTAAGCGAGACAGTCAAGTGAGGTTTGCCCCATTTTACAACCTTTCTTGCCATCCTTGTAAAGTGAATCACTGCAGTTGTTAAATTAGTCACACGGTTGTTAAGTGAATCTGGGCTCCCCCATTGATTTCGCTTGCCGGAAGGTCGCAAAAGGGGATCACGTGACTCAGGGACACTGCGACCGTCATAAGTACGGGTCAGTTGCCAAGCGTCCCAATTCTGATCACGTAACCACTGCAACGGTCGTAAATGTGGAAAACGGTCATAAGTCACTTTTTTCAGTGCAAATGTAGCTTCAAGCTTCAAACGGTCCCTGAATGAACGGCTGAGAGCGCCCCCATCCTACGAGAGTCCAGCTCTGGTCACTGAATGCGGAAGAAGGGGGCCCAGCAGGACATCGGCCTGAGGGAGGGCTGGGGGTCACCTGGGGCGGCTTCCTGCAGCTCCCCACGGAGTCACCCATGGCTGGGACTCTCATGGGATGGTGGAGCCAGCAGGGTCTCCTGGTCTCCTCCTAGGAGGACCTCCTGCATCGTTGGCCAGGAGCTGAGCCAAGGATCTCCCGGAGCCTTTCTCCTGAGGTGGAAGCCAGCCAAGTCCCAGCTGGGACCCAGAAGTCTGGGGCGAGGCGCCCTCTGGACTCCGTCCAGCACCCCACGTGCTTTTCTCCACCCACGGCGGCTGTTTCGGGCGTCTCCCTCTCTCTCCCCTCTTCACTCAGAGGATGGCTGGGGTCTGGAGCTGGCTGCTGGCTGTGGGTCTCCTGGAAGGGCTGAGGGGGGCGCTGAGCTGCGTGCCTCCTCCAGGGGGTAAGAAGGGGGAAGGGGGCTCTGCTGTGGGGAGGCCTGGCACAAAGGCTGGGCGGGAGATGGCTTGGGGCAGGAGACATCTGGGCTTGGAGAACGCCTAGTTCTTCTTTTGGAAGCTCTAGGAGAACTTCGGAAGGTCGTAACGGGGAGGATGGCATGGCTAATCTAGGGAAAAGAAGGACTTCGTGGCAGCCTTCCAATATCTGAGGGGCTTCCACAGAGAGGAGGGGGCTCCACCTATTCTCCTGAAGGCAGGAGAAGAAGCAATGGATGGAAACTAATCCGGGAGAGAAGCAACTTGGAATTACGGAGAACCTTCCTGACAGTCAGGACAATTAACCAGGGGAACAGAAGTTGCCAGCAGATGTTGTGGCTCCTTCAACACTGGAGGCTTCCGAGGAGAGATTGGATTACCACCCCAGCCTCCTGCCTTNGGCACAGTGGTTGAAAAACACTGCATTAAGTCCTACAGTTTCTCGTCTGGTTTACCAATACAGTTGGAAAGCAAACGTTATCTTAAATGACCTATAGAACCTATAGAAATAGGCCCTTATCTGACAATTTGGTAATATCAGGATACCTCATGCAGTATACATTTTCTAAAATATGCATATAATTAATTTTTGGGATTACTTCACACTTATTTGAAGACTTCGTTTTCCACCTTATACAAATGATTAGCAAACATATTACTGTATTCCTCAGTGAGGCCACTACCCCACCGTTTCTAAACCAGATCTGTCACTTAATCACTGAATGGCCATTTGGAAAACTACTGGGAACTAATTTGCAGTTGTGGCAGTTCGGTTAGTTTCTGTCATTTGAGTACACGCAATGTGCAGGTGCCCAGAAAGCACAACCAGTATTTTCCAATGAAACTTGCCCACACAATAGCCTGATCATTGGTCTTATAACTCATGGCCTTTTTCTTCCAATCAATGTAACTTGGTAGCATGTGAAGCATCCCATAAGTATGAAAATAAGAAATAAAATCATGGGTGTATTTTCAAGGTTATTTTCTCTCCCCCCCCCGCCCCCCTCAGCATGAGAACCCAGATTGTTGGGGCAATATGCTGACATTGCAAGCCACCCAAAAAGTGCTGTGAATTTTTAATATACTATGAGGCAATACATAAATCTAAATGCTATTGCTCTCCTCCACCATTCCATGAAACTAACGTATGCATGAATTTCCCTTCTTTTAGGAGTCCCTTGTCAGTAAAGGAGATTAGCCATTTATTTAGGGTTATTTGCCTCTGGCAAAGCGCGAGGTGTCGGGGCGTGCTTTTTTTCTGAACTTTCCAAAGCGATTTTAAGGAAGCGCAAAAATGAAGCCAAAATAGCAGACTGCAGCAGAGGGAGAAACCAGAGGGTCGCCGCCACAGCGTCCCGGAGTTTCAAGTTTCTTAATTCTATCCGTGCACTTCATTCCCCCACACCCCAATCTCCTATTCGTCAGCGCTAGAGCTACCCGCTCCTGGCGAACAAAGCAGCTGGGCGACCCTCCTTACTGTTAAATTACTGCTCGAGCTTCCCAGGTACCCTAGAGCAGGGGTCTCCAACCTTGGTAACTTTACGCCTGGTGGACTTCAACTCCCAGAATTCCCCAGCCAGGGGAAAAAACAGGGTCTTTTAAAGTCAGAAAGCTCCATTTAGGTTTCTGATTCTTCGCTCAGCTGATTTTTTTTTCATTACTTCTTGCATGGCTTCCTTAAATCATACCATCTGATTCTATTCAAATATATTGCAATTATTTTTTACAATGCAAAATTCATTGTCTTACATCTTTCATGAAACAAGCAACTTCCATTCTGAAAATCAGTGAGACAAACTGCAATTTTAAGAAACCAGGGCAAAAAGCTTTGCTGGCTGGGGAACTGTGGGAGTTGAAGTCCACCAGGCTTAAAGTTGCCAAGGTTGGAGACCCCTGCTCTAGACCTAGAGGAGGAGGAGGAGGAGGAGGAGGAGGAGGAGGAGGAGGCGAGGGCGGCAGCGGCGGCGGGGAAACAGCCCAAGCTGCCAGGACTAAGACGCGGGACCTTGAGACAGAGCGCGCCGAGTCTAGCGCCAATTCTCCCAGCAGAGCTTTAAGCTGATTGGCGGGAAGGTTAGAGGGACGCCCCCATTGCCAACGCCTGATTGGTCGGATTGTAAAAATATGTTCCAAGGCGCCAGAATAGAAGCTTTAGCGCCTAGTGGAGTCTCCAGGACAGAAACGAAGCGGCCGGTAGAAGAGGCGAGTCGCTGGCAGAGGTAGAAAGTGCAGGTGGGATTCAGGGTCCCTCTTCCCATTGGAATACCTCCATGCCCCTCAGCGAGCCTGGAGACGCCGAGCCCGAAACCCAGGGATCCCTTTGAGAAAGAATGTCGAGAAATGTAAGGCTTTACAATCCGGGGTGGGGGGTGGAAGGAGAGTGGGGGGTCTGCAGAGAGAAGTTCTGCAGTTGTTTTTACGGGGCCCTCTTACCTTGATCCCCCTCCCCAATCTTTCCCATCTCCTCGCAGAGCGGGGAATTGCCTTTCCTGCCCCAGGGAACGAGGTTAAGCCGGGAGACGAGTTCTTCTCCCGCTTCAGGGCTCGGGGGCCGAGCTGGGCTGTCCCCGCCTTGATCTGGGGAGGTGAGTCCTTGGGAATCCCGCTCCTTTCAAAGCCGGGATTCCTCGACCAGGTTCTTTGCGCCAAAAGTAACCGATCCCGGCTGCGTAACTCTGAACGTCAGTGACAGATTCGCCAGGGCTGCTCAGTCTCGGCCCTCTTCGGTTAAAGTTAAAAACTTTTTTGTGGTTGGTTTGTTATAAATTCTGCGCGTTGAAGGAGCGCGCCTTCTCCCAAATTTTGCTCGGATAATTTCGCGGGAGGAGGTGGGATACGGGACCTGAAATTTATTGGGCGGGGGAGTGATGTAAGATGCTGAAGAGGTTGAGCAACTTTTATATTTACAGATGGAGTTGAATTGTTTAACACTAAAAGACCTGATTAGCCCGAGACATGGCAAGATAGATTACATAAACGAAGATGGAGACAGTGCACAAAAGGTAAGTAGGCAGAGCTGGATTCCAAAACCTGGAGTTCTTGACTTTAAAATCTGCTGGCAGTGATAAGGCTTTCTTTAAACTGTTTTTCTTGTACTCTAAGGTTTCAAACTGTACTGAGATTGATACATTCAGAAATGAAAAAAACAAACAACAGCAAAGCTAGAGGAAAGGATTTACAGCAATATTCTGTAGATAATTATTGTTATATTAAATTATTAACTAGCTCTATCATTAAAATAAGGAAGAGTAGTCCTAATCCACCACATATATCATGCAACTGCTTATCTGTTACATTTCTATTAAAATGCATCTCAGCTTGGCATTAGCTCTTATGTTTTTTTAAATCAGTTTGCCATCTCTGCTCTATTAGGGAGCTAGGAAATAATTTACTCCAGGCTAAGATTCTTTGTTTAGTTTGGGCTTACTGAGTTAACTAAACATAACTAGTGGTTTAGTGCAGGAATGATACAACTTTTGCAACCAGGAAGGATGTTTTTAAAAACTTTTGGGGAGGTTCCAAAGGCCACTTGAAGTCTGGAAGTGATATAGTTGAGTAAAGTAAAATTCAGTACTTTGGGAGGGAGTCAAAGGGTTATGGGTTAAGTAAAATAAATTTGTTATGCCCGATTTTTTTTAAATAATACAAAATGCAGCGCTATAATTTGCTACCAAATGTTGATAGCAGATCATATAATTAACCTGACAAAGTGGAACATGTGAGTTAGGCCATTGTGGGTCATCCATTGTGGGCAGGACAGTGACTGACCTGGAATGGAGCCACCACCATTCCAGTCCAGATAGACCCCACTGTGCTGTTGTTCAGAAATTTTCTGAAGATCTGGTTCTTCACCCAAGCCTATGGTCATCTTTTAACTTTGCTTTTTATGTTTTATTTGTTCTATTATAATTTCTTTCATTGTAAATGAGCTTCCCAGAGTTGTTGGAAATCAGGCAATATGCAAGTTTAATTTATTATTATTATTATTAAAATACAGTCACTAATTTGTCATTATTTGGGACGAGCAAAATGAATCTGGACCAATATTTGGAGGCAATTTTAATAAAATGAATCTACAGAGGTGCTTTTGGCAAACATAAAGAAAGTTATAGTTAAGAAAGAAAGTTAAGGAAAGAAAACAAAGCCAAGCAGAAAATTTTGAGTTTTTTATTCTGAATTTTTAATATCTAAAGAAAAAAGGGAAAAAGTACTGATACAAATAAATGTTTAAAAGAACATGTTAACTATAGTAAGGAAGTGAGGGAAAGCAATATGAAGTAATCCTCAATTTACAGCAGCACTGAAAAAAGTGTCTTACACTTACACTTACAACCTTGCACTTACAACCATCACAATACCTCACAGTCATGTGATCAAAATTTCGGCACTTGGCAAACAGCGTATATTTAAAAGTTACAGTAGCCTGTAGTCGTGTGATCGCCATTAGCAACCTTCCCAGTCAACTTCTGACAAGCAACGTTAGTAGAAGAAGCTGGATTTGTTTGATGACTGCAGGATTCATTTAACAACTACACTGATTTAACTGTGGCCAAAAAAAATGAAATCGGGCATGACTCACTTAACTGCCTTGCTTAGCAATTGAAATTCTGGTCCTAATTATGTCAGGCACAAATTATATGTTAAGATATAGTTCAAAAGATTTATTGCTGAAGCCTATACACAAGAATCTAGCCAACTAAACTTCAGTATTAAATTGAAACCAGATAAAGATCAATGGAATTTAAAGGAGGTTGGACTTAGACCGTTTCTGACAATGTAATGACTCTACGTTAATGATGTGCTTAACTCTGCCCTCCCCCTTCCCATTCTATCTATTCTTCTCTTACAGTTATGGTTATAAGTTGAGAACTACCTGTAAGCAATAGAATATGGGTGAATAACCAACAAAACTCAAATATCTAATAGCTAATAGATACTTTAAAATATAAATATTTCATACTAATTTCTAATTAAGACTTGTCTCTATTGTAATTTAAATGAATAAGGAGAAAAAGCTACAAATGATAAACAAACAATAATACATTGGAAAATAATCCAAATAATATATAGATTATATGTCAGATTAAATTGAGGTGTGGCACAAATCCATGTATAGAATTGTAGTCTAGAAATAGTTTCCAATGAGATTGAATTGTACATCAGTTTTTAGACTGAAGTTATTCTGGACACTGAAGTATATTCTCACGGTTTAATTAACCATTCTTCCATAGAGAGGATCAAAGATCAATAATATGTTCAGTGTTATGAGTTGTAAGATTTTTAAGTTCAATAAACTTGCTAAACATTCCTCCTTGTTTCTATAATTCTTTTGTTGCTGTGCTGCTTATTTGAAAGTATTGGAACCAACTGTGTGGAAGAGCACTGTGTAACAAAAGATTTGAGAATTGATTCTGGCTTGTATGGAAAAAATCAAGTTGAAATTCCAATTTATATGTAAAACTTAACGAACCACATATGAAGGCTTCCTGGTGTTCTGATAAACAAGACTTTTAATTAGTAGTTTCTTTGAACGAGATCAAACTGGAAATACCAATGTTTTCATGAAGATTGTGCATGGGGTTCTGCATTTATTTTAGTTTACTTTATTGTCATTGCACCTTGTACAACGAAATTAAATGCCATCTTCAGTGTACATTATAACTATAAAAATAAAACATAAACGCACATTCTATACAATTGAATTGAAAACCCGATATTGCATTAATATTGCACTATACAGTATAATTCAATATAATTACTGCCCTGGAATAGAAGTTGTTTTTCAGCCTATTTGTCCTTGTTTTTATTATCCTGTATTGTCTGCCAGGTGATAATAGTTCAAAAAAAGGGTGCTCAGGATGAGATGGATCTTTAAGAATGTTTTGAACTTTCTTAAGGCAGCCGGAAGTATAAAACTCTACCAAAGAGGGGAGAGGGCAACCAGTGAACTCTCTGGATTTATTGATTTATTGATTCAGTAAGATTTATTGATTCAGTAGTATTGAAACCTGGATGCGTAACTGTTTTACTGTTTTGGTATTATTTTGATTTTACAAATACACTTTTAGTTATGCAATTTAACATAGGTAAATTGTGTATGTGTTTGTGTGTCTGTAATAAAATATCAATTACAAATAGTTTTAAATTTCAAGAAGGATAAGCCACTCCTTTTAAATAGTACTTAAAATATGTAAATCTGAGTGCAACCCATTGCATTTCAACTGCCACTTGTACTAATGTGAGTTTTTAATAAATAAGATTTAGTACTTAGGCTCAGCCTAAACTAAGATGTCTTGCTAGCAGTTGAATCAAAAAAGGTGGATAGGAAAAACGGAACTTCTAATTCATGTCTCCCCAAAGATTTGCACTCTTTAAAGAAAAAGCAAGTTCTTACAAAGAGGGATAGAAAAAGTGGCAAATCAAGTGATTATTCTACATATCTCTGTCCTTAAGATCAAACTGAATATACAATTTAGTAACATTAAATAATGCAATATGTGATTGCCACATACAGCAAGGACGAGTCTCTACTACATCAGAGTTTCATCAGAATGATTTGTTGATATCTACGCATATTTTTTTATCTGTTAATCTATAACAGTACTTATAAAAAATATGTCATTGAATCTTTACCGTTTATTCAAATATGAAGGCATTAATTTTAGAAAGACTAATAATTGCTCTCTCATTATAAATATTCTGGTCCCCACCACTTCGATCACAGTACATTGGTTGATAACCAATTTATGACCAAACACAATGCTTGAATAAAGTCCCTTGTTTATTAAATATAGGCCTTCATATATAGGCCTTCATTGTATGTTAAGGTAATCCTTAACATACAATCATCATCCATACAACCATAATATAACATTTTTTTTTACTATCTTTTTTGTGACAGTTGTAAAGCGATGGCTACAGTTGTTCCCTATGGGGCAGTTTTGCTAAAAACCAGAAGTGCTGGTTTTTGGCAAACCGTTGCAAAATGTGGTCACATTGTCATGGGATGCTGCAAATTGTCATGAATGTGGCCATGTTGCCAAGCATCCAAAGTTCAGTCATGTATCTGTGGAAGGCCCCAACCATTGGAACCTCAAATCTGGGTTATAAATTCCCTTTTTCAGATTAGTCATAACTTCAAAAAGTCACTAACTGGTTGTAAGTCATGGGTCATCTTGTATCTCAGTGGGTCTCAACCTTCCTAATGCCGCGACCCTTTAATACAGTTCTTCATGTTGTGGTGACCCTCAACCATAAAATTATTTTATGTTTTCTGTATTTTTTTGAAAATATGTGTTTTCCAATGGTCAGGTGACCCCTGTGGAAGGGTCGTTCGACCCCCAAAGGAGTCCCGACCCACAGGTTGAGAACCACTGTTAGACTCTAGAAAGTCTAAGACTCTAAATGGTGGTTTGCTGCTATTTGGCTCTTTGAAGTTTCCTTCCTTCCCAATATGAATAAAGAAAAGTGCTGTTCTGATAATAAATATGATTCTCAGTTTTTGTGATTTAAGTGTTCTGATGTCTAAGTTGAATCAGTTCCTTATCACCTTCCCAAATTGTAATCTCTTTTCCTTCCTGTAAAAGTCAAGGCAAGCTATTTGAAGAGCCTTATATGGTTAGAACTATCTTATTTCATATTTGTTCCTATGAAAGTCAGCCAGATGACATTGAGATGTCTATGAGAAGAACAGGAGCACAGTATCCCCCTTTCTGAGAGGTATGCTACCCTTGATATTAAAGCAATGTCTGGACATCTTGGCTAGGAGTCATTGATAGTCTTGAGTCCTGAGCAAGTAATTCTTGGTGTGCAGCTGAAGTGTTGTACAACCCAGGATTTGTTATATATTCATATGTTAATTGGCTGCCTTCTTTCTAACAGGAAAATATATTTGATCGACCCAGAATGACCCCAAAGACTCCCATGAAAAATGAGCCCATTGATTTGTCCAAGCAAAAAAACTGTACTCCTGAGAGAAGCCCAATTACACCTGTGAAGCTGACCGACAAGCCTCTTGCAGATCCATGGACTCCAACAGCTAACCTAAAGATGCTTATTAGTGCTGCTAGTCCTGACATGCGGGACAGGGAAAAGAAAAAAGAACTCTTCAGACCAATTGAGAACAATGAATTTAGCGATGCTCTCCCCGATTCCTCACAGGTAACTCACCTACCACAGGGAAAATTGTCACAATTAAACAGCTACCTATTTTAATTATATAAAAATCTCTTTAGGTGTGTAAACAGCTGCTGTTTAACATCCACAATCTCAGTAACCTTCATTTGCATTCTATTTTTTTAGTTATGTATAGTTTATTTAAATTATTAGCAAGCAGTATTCAGATCTGAAACAAGCAAAGTGTGTTTTAGGGGTATCTAGCATGTTTTTGATGTATCTCTTGACAGCTGCTTAAAGGAATCTTATCTTTTCGTGGGCTCTCATGGGAGCACTACAGGGCCAGAAATATGTGTGATTGAGTTAAAAAAAACTACAGGAAAATGACAACCTGTTGCCATCTGAGTATTTTTTGAAATTAAAGATTCAAAGCTGGGGCATATCACGTATTTTTCGGAGTATAAGACGCACCTTTTTCCCTCAAAAAAGAGGTTGAAAATCTGGGTGCGTCTTATACACTGAATACAGCATTTTTTTGCCTCCCGAAACCCCGTCCCCCTCACCAAAATGGTTGTGGAGAGCTTTTAGGAGCCATGCAGAGGGCTCCTGGAGGCTGGGGAGGACAGAAATGAGCGAAAAATGGGCTGTTGTTTTGCTCAATTTTGCCCCAGCCCCCAGGAGCACTCTATAAGCCTCCTAAAGGCTATGTATGCAATTTATTTGACAAAAAATAGACCAATTTTTGCGAAAAACAGGCCATTTTTTGCTCATTTTTGTGGTCCCCCAGAAGCACTCTGCAAGCCTCCTTAAGGCTACTCATGCCTTTAAAGGGGGGGGGGACATTCTTGGGAGGTCTGCAGAGTGCAAAAACTTTGTTTTTTAATTTGCCTCTTCAAAACCTTCGTGCGTCTTATACTCCGAAAAATACAGTAACTATCTTGTAAGCCTAAGATAAATATGATCCTGACAATACAATAGATAGGCCTAGGAAAGACCTAAAGCACTTTTAGAATAATGGGCAACAATCTTTTCAGGTTCAAATAAAGGAAATCTCAAGTTCTGAATGCTTTGACTTAGTAAGGCTTGGTTTTCTCATAGATATTCTGCAAACCTCCCCCAAACGGCCTGTTTGTTGCGAAAACGGGCTCTTTTTTTCAAATAAAAGGCATGAATAGCCTTGGGGGGGCTTGCAGAGTGCTACTGGGGGGGGCAAAAAAGAGAGAAAACCGGCCGGTTTTTTGTCAAAAAAAAATATGCATGCATGGCCTTATGGAGGCTTATAGAATGCTGCTGAGGGTTGGGGTCGCAAAAACAGCCCATGTTTTGTTCATTTCTGCCCTCCCCAGCCCCCAGGATATCTCTGAAAGCCTCCATAAGGGTATGCACGGCCATTTTGGTGAAGGGGGCGGGGCTTCAGGAGGCAAAAAATACTGTATTTGGAATTTTCAGCCTCTTTAGAGGAAAAAAGGTGTGTCTTATATTCGTATACATAAATACGAATATGTTGCTGACGTGAATGAGTCTGTATAAACTGTATGTCAAGCTGAGATCCTTAAAGAAAAAGATGTACATATTTAAAGAGTATATATAGTATATATTAGTACTGAAAATAATCCATGCTTAGTTAACAGCTTATATATAATGAGTGTGTTAGCATAATGTAACAGATGGCCATAAAGAACCATTCTCTCTGTTTGTAGTGTGATACTGCAGATGATGGAACTGCAGATGAATATGAAAAACAAAGGCCCAGCAGAAAACAGAAAAGCCTAGGACTGCTCTGCCAAAAATTTTTAGCTCGCTATCCTAGTTACCCTTTATCAGCAGAGAAGACAACAATTTCTTTGGATGAAGTGGCTTCCAGCCTTGGTATGTATGCCGGCAAAATAAGGTTGATTGCAAAAATGAATGTTCCTAATAGACTTAATATTGACAATGAGACGTAGTGCTGTAAATATGCCCTATTTAAGTGTATTGTGCTATTGTGTAATTTGCATGTGTTCTATTTAGCTTTCCCAGAAGGTGCTGCTGAATTGTTTTGTAATGCTGCCAAGTGATTCCTTCATAGGAATTGATCCAAAAACGCATTCCAGTAGGAAAAATCATAGCTGAAAGAGTCTCTATCAGATCAGTTTGTTTCATGGTGTTTCACAGGCATGTATTCACTCTTATGCCCACAATGCGTCCCTTCCACATCAACACATAATAATATCATGCATTATATAGTGTGAATTGTAGTATGCTTTGAAATCAATATGTGCACTACTAATTTAGACAAGCATTAAAACCAAACTATTTCCACCCACCTAATACTTTAAAAATGTGAAATGAGTGGTTTACTTTAAAATGTGAATCACATACTTTGTTTATCATCAGTTTTAGGGCTTGCAAATTCCTTTGGGGGGGGATTTCATATGGTTCATGTTTTAAGCCAACTCAATTCATATCTCTTTATTTCTTGATGCAAACTTTAGTCTTCAGAATATTCTTTCTCAATAAAATCATGAAATAAATTATTTTGCTCTGTATAATTCTAAGACGGGAGAGGGATCATTGCAATAGAGCTGCAGAATATTTTTGATTGTAACCAAATGATCAGTTCCACAAATCACCACTTGTGAAAGTTTAGTTGGGTGATAAATTTGAAATGATGCTGTTGCATTGGCCTGCCTGTTTTTCAACAGCTTCCCTTCCCAAGCTGTTTAAATTCATTGCTGGGTTTGTAGTTGGTTTTTTGTAACTGAAGTTCTGGGGATTTTCTACCTTTCTCTCTAAATAATCCAGTCAGAACTTCTTAGCCATCATGACATCAGTGGGCTAATCTCAGGTTATCATGGCCCATGCTTGATTTGGCATTTACCTCAGAGATGTGATCTTCTGGAGGATATCGCCACTAGCTCCTTGTCAAGAAAATATCTCTTTCTCATAACTTTGAGGCTTGGGCACATCACCAACTGTTGCAGGTGTGAGAACCCATTAAATTAGGGCACTCAGTGTGCCTATGGATCACACTTGTTTTCAGAAATCATTTGGAAATATCCCAGAAATTTCATGGGCAGTTCCACACACACAGTTGGTCAGACTCTAGAGCAGTGGTAGTCAACCTGGTCCCTACCGCCTACTAGTGGGAGTTCCAGCTTTCATGGTGGGCGGTAGGGATTTGCTGTAACTCTGCTTTATAAAATTTATAAAGTAAATTTACTTCCCTACTTTATAAATCACCATTACTGTGGAACCGATGGGTGGTTAGAAAATTTTACTACTAACAGAGATACAAAAGTGGGCAGTAGGTATAAAAAGGTTGACTATCCCTGCTCTAGAGTATGGAAGAAACCAAAGTATTCTATTCAATATTTGGTTTTTCCATATTCTAGAGCCATGATGGCGAACCTATGGCATGCGTGCCAGAGGTGGCACACAGCACTCTCTGCTGGCATGCGCACAGTTGCCCAAGGTCAGATCTCTGGTGTTTCTTTCGTGAGCTTCAGTTTCCCTGCAAATGATGAAACAGAAGTTCACAGAAAAAAAGATCTTACCTCTTGCCCCACTGCTGATGTTGGGATGCCCTGCCTCCCGCCGGCCAGCTGGTCTTCGGGTCTCTGCAGCGCATGTCCAGCCATGAGTGCATGTCTGCATATGTGTGCATTTGCGTGCATGTCCACGTTTGTGTGCATGCGTGCGCGCACAGTTTGGGCACTCAGTGTCTAAAAGGTTTGCCATCACTGTTCTAGAGGTTGGCCCGGAGCAGCTTTCAGTTAATTAAGGTAATCTTTAACGTATAACCATTCATTTAATGACTGTTTGAAGTTACAATGGCACTGAAAGAAGTGACTTATGATAGGTTTTCACACTTGGATTGGATTGGATTGGATTGGATTGTTTATTTGTATGCCGCCCTTTTCCCTGGGGGGACTCAGGGCGGCTCACAATCAAANCAGGGCTGGAGCAGAATTATTTCCTCAACTCTCTGTTCAGCATAAGAATATTCATGTTATGTTTCATTCCAATTCACTGCTATAATTTTCCTTCTCGAGAGTTGGGACTTTCCCCTTTCCTTCTCGGCCTTCCAAAAAAGGATCAAAGCTTACAGTTCCCACCTTGAAAGTTCCAAGTTTATTCCTTGGCATGCCAAGGTTTTTAAAATAACACTAGGCATCTCCTCCCTCACATAAACAGAGAAGCAGCATGATCACAGGTGGGAGAGAGAACAGGAGTAGGATATGGTAATGGAAAAACTTCCAACTTCTTGCTTGTTTCACCTTCAAGCTTCCTTGTGGGAAGCTGGCAGACAGCATCAAAAATCCTTCCTTCCTTCCTTCCTTCCTTCCTTCCTTCCTTCCTTCCTTCCTTCCTTCCTTCCTCCTTTACCTTTTCTCTCTCTCTTTCCCTTTCCTTACTCACGGTTCTTCCAGGGGTGGAAGAACCACAAGCTAAGATTATGTGCAGTTTGAAGAACCCCCAAATCCCACTCCTGGCTGGCCCCACCTACCCCACCACGCCTCTCCAAGGAGACCCCACAGGGCCCATTTTGGATGCAGGTAAGTGCAGGGTGTGCGAGGAGGCTCGGGGAGAGGGGAAATGGGACTACCAGAAGTTTGGAAAGAGGCCTACAGAGGGCCTCTGGAGCCTGGGGAGGCTGTTTTTGCCCTCCCCGAGCTTGAGGAAAGTCTCCAGAGCTTGGAGAGGGCAAAAACGCCCCTCCCCTGTGATGCAGGAGGCCAACTAGACCACGTCCACCATGGCCATGTCCACCCAGCAAGTGGGCAGAGAACCCCTTGCTAAAATTTTGGAAGCCCACCCCTCTCTTATCCCACTCCACCTTCCTTCAGCTAAAAGTTAACCCATTTGGTTCAAAAATGGTACTTTGCATTTTATCTACCAATTAGCTTTATACATGTTCATGTGGCATCATGATTAGAGTGTTAGACCAGGACTAGGAGATTGAAGTTCAAATCCAGCCTCAACCGTGTAAATTCACTGCATGAGTTTGATCTAGTCATTCTTTCTTAGCTCATCCAACCTGACAAAATACCGTGGCTCCAATTAAACTCTTTCCCTACTTTATCATCCCAAATACATACCAGAAGGTTAAAGTAGAGAAAATTACAAAACCACACATGTAGTTTGAAGATCTCCATCTAACAGCATTTAAAAATCCTGCTCTCTCTCTCTCTCTCTCTCTCTCTCTGTGTGTGTCTATCTATCTATCTATCTATCTATCTATCTATCTATCTATCTATCTATCTATCTATCTATCTATCTATCTATCTATGTGCCTTCCTTCCTTCCTTCCTTCCTTCCTTCCTTCCTTCCTTCCTTCCTTCCTTCCTTCCTTCCTTGGCTTATCCATGTTGCTGTTCATTTTTCAGCTTGACCATTTTGGCCAACTGTTCCTGTTTGCAGAGCAGATTTTTCTGGCGTGACACTCAAAAATTCTTGACTCTCAATTATTCCTGAATGTTGGTTTCCCCCTTGCTTCCCTGGCCTAATTTGGCACCTCGGTAACACACCTTCCTTGAATTGCTCCATCTTTTCTTTTCCATATCATGATCAAGACCAGCATATAACGATAATAACAACAACAAAAATAACTTCGTTCTTCATTTGAGCAGCTGCAACTACAGACACTATTGGTCTCTGCCTAGGAAGAGAAGGGTGTAGGCTGAATTACTTAGAACAGTGTTTCTCAACCTTGGCGACTTGAAGTCCTGTGGACTTCAACTCCCAGAATCCCCCAGCCAGCTGTGCTGGCTGGNGATAGCAGTCAGCTGAAGTGGCCTGCAGTACTGCACTCTAACCACTGCGCCACCTCGGCTCTTACACTACCACTGCCTTAGAGAAGCAATAATAATGCTAGCGCAAGCATAAAATTGCATAGAAAAGAAAGGAATGTTGACAATAAAAAAGGGATACTTGCAATTGAAGAAAGCCATGGGAACCAAGGACAAGGGAAGATAACAGAAATAGAAACATTGGATGATAACTATTATTCTAACATGCAATCTCTATAGCATTAATAAAATCATTGTCTTTCTACTTCCATCTTCTCTATATTCCACATTACTATATCTGACCTCATTGATTACATGCATACTTCGTTTACAGAAACCCACATAAGGCCCATTTTCAGATCTGCTATTGAAGCTCCAGTATTGAAATTAATTCACTCTATGCTTGTATTGATGAGTACTCTGGTCTCTGTGATTAAAATAATTCATAAAGTAGAAATCCCTTCTACACATACACTGCACAACATACTTGCAAGGCAAATAAACAGAGAAGTGTGAAGATACATAAGTGCAATTAAATGTTATTTTAATCCACAGCTGCAACATTCTCATATACAGATTGAAATGACTAAGATTTAGATATTAAGCACTCTGTTGCACATTACTGTCAACTCAGGGCTCAGCATGCCACAGACTAGAACAAATAAACACAGTTCACTTAAAAATAGTGCTCTCACACACATATTGGAGTATATATTTTATAAAAAATTTGCATGTGAATGGCAAAAGCACATTTCAAATGATATCATACAATTTCAATAAAACAGAAGCGTGCAACTAAAATTAATCATAATGCGCCGCTTTATTTTAAACAATTATTCTGCCAAAAAATTAAGACATTCATCACTCAAATTCACATTCTGTATAATTAAACCAAAATGGAAAGAAGCCATTTCCACCATTTTTTTTATTATTCCGATACAATACCCCCCCCCCCATTTTTTATATTCTTGGCAGATAAATTACAAGAATAATGTAATGTATTAAGGCTTGGGATATATGGAATGTGTCATTGTAATTAAACATACGGACAACACATTTCTACCTGATTCTTCTCCAGCTGTGAGCATCAGAAAAATTAAGATACACAAATAATACTAGACAAAGAGCTCAAATTTCAGCCTGTACTACAGTCATAAGGATAACTTGATCCTTATCCTTGGACCCTTCTTGGGAAGGATAAGCAGAAACCAGCACCAACCACTGATGGCAAACCGATGACACGCCATATTTTGGGATGTCACGCCAGCATTCCCCAAACCAACAGCAGCAACTCTTGAAAGCATGTCCCATTCTTGCACAATTTTCAGAGGTGGCATGAGAAAAGGGTGTGCTCTTATGCAGTCTCCCCAAGTCACACAAGAATGGGGTATGCTTTTGCACGGTTTTCAGAGACTGCTGATGTCATGGAAGAGCATTCTTCGAAGCTGCTTCCAGATTGGAGGCTTTGTGTTACCTGGAGCAGCCTCGGGTAGTTGTCAGAAACAGAATACCTCCTGAAGGTAAGCAGTGAGAAGCAGGTACTGGGGATTGCTGGGTCACGGGGGCACTTGTGGAGTTGCCCAAGGCTCATGGAGCCTTGAGGAACAGCACAAAGTGGACTTATTAAGTACCAGTGGTAGTACTGGACCCGAAATTGAGCACTGGGCCTCTTAATTCGGGTTCAGTCTTAGGGTGGCCTAGATGGGGGAAGGAGAGATAAAGAATTGTTTTTCCTTTTTTTATGATGTGGGGGAAGACATCCCAGTTGAGTCAAGTGAGGCATTTTCCAAATCTGTGACACGCCAAGCACAAAAGGTTTTGCCATCACTATCTGATCTTTGTTTTCCTTGATGATCTGAGTTTTAATTATTTTATTTTTCTGTAATGTGTCATGTTCTACTTTATATTACTGTAAACTGGGACTTATATGATTTGACAGTGCACAAAAAATATCAACAAATAGGTAACTCTTTTAAAGTGCATAAAGTTTTATAAAGACATGGAAATATTAATTTGTGAGATTGGTCTTACCTGAACTGCTATTTTCAGGGCTGGGACAGGAGGCGCCAGTGGATGGTATTAACACGCCCAATTGGCCACGAGACTGGGATGAAGCTGAAGCCACGCCTCCGTGCTCCACCCTTTATGTCCAGTTTCATCGAAGTGAGCTCCCCCGAGACCTGAAAACAAGGCACAAAGGAGAATGACCATTGACTTACCTGAAGGGTCGTTTTCTGGGCGCTGCGAAGGAGAGTCCAAGCGTGGGTTAAATACATCCAATCTGCCCAGGACTGAATTGAAACTTTAAGCCACGCCTCTGGGGCTGACCATCCGCAGTTTTTTTCAATGAAGGCGTGGAACTGTTGCGCGCTGAGAAGTCCAATAACAAATCCAACTCCAAACAAGGCGTAACTATATCCAAATGGACAGTCCATAAAGTCTACACTGAACAACGGAGACACACCCAAGGGTGGGGATGGACTCTCCTTCACAGCGCTCAGAAAATGACCCTTCAGGTAATCAATGGTCATTTTCCTGGGCGCTGCTCTGGAGAGTCCAAGTGTGGAATATACCCAAGCTAAATGTCACTAGGGCGGGTAACAGTCGAGTTCAGGGTCTCTCTGCTGGTATGAATGCCCTGAAGGACTCGTCTCCCAAAAGCCCCTTCTGCAGAAGCAAACTTGTCCAATTTATAGTTCCGAAACGGAGACAAGGAAGTCCAAGTGGCCGCTCTGCAAATTTCCTCTATCGGTGCTCGAGTTGCCCAGGCCACCGTGGGGCAGCACCTTTCGTAGAATGTGCAGTGATATGGCTTGGCACCAGTTTGGACTGGAGAAGTGGGCGAGGATAATGCATGCCCGCAGCCACCGTCCAATGAGGAAACTTTGCGGCCTTGAGATGCAGGTTGAAATGAAACGAAAAGTGATTCAGAACGCCGGAACGCAGCTATGCGCTTGATGTACTTGCGGAGCGTTCTACAGATATCAAGCATGTACCATCTTTTCTCCTTCAGGATGCAGGATGTTTGGGATGCGGACAAAAATCCGGAAGAATGACCTCCTGGGCCCAGTGGAACAGGAGTTTGTCTTAGGAATGAATGACAGGTCCAGCCGGAGGACCAGCCTGTCCAGTTGTATCAAGCACAAGTCATCACGAACCGAAAGAGCTGCCAACTCTGAAATACGCCGTTCAGAAGTGATGGCAATCAAAAAGGCGGTTTTCAACATCAAATGCTTAAGGCTGGTGGTATGAAGTGGTTCGAATGGTGGGCCAATCAGGGCCTGTAAGACTAAGTTGAGGTCCCATGACAGGTATCTGTGGACCACCGGGAGCCTCAGGTTGGTTGCCCCTCTCAGGAAACTACGGATCGTGGATAATGAGGCCACCTGATGCCTGAGTGTGCTGCTTCTCCAAATCCAGGTCCTGGTCTTCCAGGGAAAGAGGTGACGAAGGGGAAGCCTCCTCAAAAAAAAATCTCCCAAGAGAACCGGGGGGGGGGGACTGGCTGTGGGGCACCCCCCAAGGGAGACCTGGAACAAGGAGGAGGGGCATTTAGTCTGCCCTGTTCGGCCCTTAACTTTTCTGCCCTGGAAAAGGTCTTAGAAAGGGCCTTGTGCCTCTTAAACTCATCCCTCTGTGTGGCACGTGAGGGACGAGAGGCAGCAGCCACCTTTTGAGCCCTAGCCGAGGCTGTGGGGTGCTGCGTGGAAGAGGTGCCCTCCCCAGGGGAGGGTGGGGGCGAAGGGAACCTTTGCGCCTCCTCCGCCATTTGCCACATGGCAATACTCACGGCCCTCCAAGCGAAGCCTCCTTGATGCTCTCTTTCTCTCTGCTCCACTCTTCGGCTGCAGCAAGGGAAAGAAAAGGGAAAGAGTAAAAAGAACGCCGTCTTTTTACTTCCCAGGCAGCCCCAACGCCAGCGGTGAACTCGTTGGGCTTCAGGGACTGCCGCCGAGGCTTCTGCCGGCTGGAGGCACCCACAAGCCGATTCGCCACTCCACGGCTCGCCCCGCTGCCTCGCAATTCCTTCACGCTCTTCCCAGCTCCGCGGCGGCTCGATTCCAGCCGCCGGAGCGATCACAAGCAATGTTCAGCCACGAGAGGCCGTGGGGCTGGAAATCCCGAGCCCGCAAGGCTCCCGATCACCCAGGGACAAAAGTTGCAACCACGTAGCTGGCGCGGCTCCAAACGGCTTCTGCAATGGCGCCTGAGCCTTCTCAGCCCTTGGAAGGCAACGAACTGTCCTTGGAGGCCAGTAAAAGCCTCAGCCAGGCAACCTTCAGACAGAAGAAGGGAGCAATTCCAAAGGGAGGCTGCAATTGTCAGAAGGGTCCAGTGATGGTAGAAATACAGGAGAGAAAAACAATAGGTCTCGCTTTTTGGCCGGACTGAGATGAAACGGGACATTAAGGGTGGAGCACAGAGGTGTGGCTTCAGCTTCATTCCAGTCTCGTGGTCAACTGGGCATGTTAATACCATCCACTGGAGCTTCCTGTCCCTCGCTCCGGAAAACTACCGAGTAACGTGAAAATGGAACTGCTATTGTTTGTTTGTTTATTATATTTATATGCCACCCTTTTCCCCCCGAAGGGGACTCAGGGCGGCTCACAACTCAAACCAGGGAAG